AACCGTCCTACGGGTGTGAGTCTTTCCCTCCCCTGCTCTGACAATCGACCTGACCCCAGCTGGCGTCTTTTCCATGGTTTGCAGAGCCCCTAGAGACACACCAATGCCCCCTGAGCAGATCAGACCCCTGGGCTCTGTTCTCCCAGCCTGTCCTACTAACTGCTCCTTCCCTGCAACCTACCACAGCACCAAAGCCCTAACGCCCGACGTGCCCCGACATCCCCAGCACAGAGGCGCTTACTCTCCATTGCAGTGAGCGGCTGTCAGCACGAAGTTCTCCGCCACCAGGAACCCTCCACAGAGAAACCTCTTGTCTCCAGGTCGTATTTCCAGATAGGCCATGTAGGGCCTGGAGTGGGGCTTCGCTTTCTTTCCTCCGATGATCTCACCTGAGGGTGGGGGGGGGGAGATCAGGTTGATACAAAGAGCCCCATCATCTCCCTGGGCCTGCCAGGGACAGAGTTCCCCATCCCAAAGGGGAGTCCCCACAGCCTCAACCCATCCCCTGTGATGGTCTCCCTGGAGGATCCCTGTTCCTGGAACCCTGCCCCCTCATCAGCTCTGCTCCAGACTGGACACCCCATGGGGCCAGGAGGTGAATCTAAAGCTTTGCCCTTGCTGGGTGGAGAATAGGTGCCAAACACCCAGGGAATGGGTCAATAATCTCACTGCCTTGAGTTAATGGCATTCAGGGCCAAGATCCTCCCAGATTAGGCCAGGCAAACCCCAAAAGGGCACTGACAATCTTACTGGCTGAATTTCCTTCTGTCAGGTTCCAGCCCCCTGTGCAATGCTGCTCCCTGTGTACTTCCGGTGTTGTCAATGCCGTGGGTAAAGAGACAGGGAGAGATCCTTTGGGGCATCTGCTCACCCTTCTTATAGCTGTTTCTCCTCTACAAGAATCATCACCCACTGAGCAGGAGACAGAAAGTGGGTGAACAGGAACCCCAAACTGTTTCTTTGTCAAGATGTAAATTTTTCACCCACCTCCTCCATCCTGCTCAAGAATGGCCATATAATCATGTGATAGTCCAGTTGATTACATTGGCTGAGGCATCGGCTAGTCATTTGTCTCTGGGGAACTGGTTTGTGGCTGCTTCCCAGATTTGGAACATGTCTTAGTAACACCATACAGTAGAATATTATAACTTTAGCTGCCACACATATTTTACCAGGACAGTAATGATCAGCGAATTATGAGGTTTTAGATGATATCTCACAAGACATGCTTTGTATAAATGCAATCATAGTCCTGTAAAGGGGGTGATCATAGGGGTACAGACTGTCACAGCATCCACTGAGTCCCCATCCCTGAGACCCCCCATTCACCCCAAAATCCCAGGGGGCCCTGATCCCAGCCATACTCACCAGCCCAAGCCCTGGGGGGCAGGAGAAAGGCCATGGGGAGCAGGAGCAAGATCTATACCTTCATATTTGGAGTCAGTGCAGGGATGGTGCATCTGCCTCAGGCCTGGGGGTTTTATAGACTGGGGGGCAGGAAACCTCAGGGTCGCCCACATACTCATCTAAATGCAGGGCTCAGATGTTTCAGTTTCCAACCACAGCCAACCTCATGAGGTGAGGGGAAGGACAAGCCGTGCATCAGCCGGGGATCCTAGACAGCTGGCTAGATACTGCATGGCTGTGTCCCTACACAGCTGTATGGATGCTGCCTATCTGGGTCTCTGCACAGCTGGATTGATGATGCACCACTGAATGGAGAGGACCCCAGTTGACAGCATGTCACAGGGTTTAAAAGGCCCCATGTCTAATTCCCCACCTCCCACTGAGCCAGCCAATCCCCTGCTGTGGGGCTGGATCAGAGCTGGCACCCCCAAAAGGGGAAAAGCCCCACATCCAATTTCCCATCCCATGATCCAGCCAGTCCCCCTCCCTAGGGCCTTTCTGCACTACACTCAGGGTCCGTGGAGTCATTGTCTGCTCTGCCAGGGCTGGACAGGGCAGTTCGGTGGGAACAGAGGAGAAGAGTTTCCATAGCAGACCCACGAGGAAATCCCACACCAGCGCCTCATACAACCTCTACTGAAATTAATGGACTCCCCTCCCCTCCCTCCTGGGGACTGGGGCCAATGGACCCCTCCCCGCTTCCCCAAAGGAGAGAAACTAACCCTAGGAGCAGGCGGGATGAGAAAGCCTTTCCTGAGCTGCAGGCCACTAGCAGAACATGAGGGGTTTGTCTCCCTCTACTGGCCTGTCCATGTAACAGGATAAGAGTCTACTATAGCTAGTGGAGCTCTTCCTTTAGACTCCCCTTCAAGCTACAAAGATTGTCCTAATGTCTAACCTCAATCTCCCTTGCTGCCGATTAACCCATCTCTTCTTGTCCTGCCTTCACTGGACATGGAGAACCATTGATCTGCATCCCCTTTAGAACAGCGCTTCACATATTGGACGACTGTTCTCAGATCCCCCCTCTGTCTTATTTCCTCAAGACTCAACACGCTCAGTTTTTTTCACCTCTCCTCCTAGGGCGGGTTTTCAAAACCTTTTCCAGACTCATTGTTTTAACACCAAGTTCAAACTGCCCCAAACCAAGAGGCGGGAGGTGTCATTGGAAACCGGACAATTATTTTGGTAGCTTGCCATGTTGTTGTAGCCATGTCGGTCCCAGGATATTAGAGAGACAAGGTGGGAGAGGGGATAGCTTTTATTCACATGTGTTCAGGAAAGGGACCGGCTTTGACTTGTGTTTAGCTTGGACATGCTGGAGAACTTTTCCCAGATCAAAAGTAGAGATCTGTGTCAAGCTCATCTCTTGCATGAGAGAGGCATGTGTGTATGGGGATAGGTGGATGGCAGCGTGGCGAGACCCAGACAAACAGATATGGGTGTGGATTGATAGATAGATGGGGCTGGGGATAGAAAGATAGATGAATGGGGATGGATAGATATATGGAGATAGATGGATGGGGGTGGGGATTGATAGACAGCTATATGGATGGAAACAGGTGGATGGGGATGGATAGATGGGGATGTAGATGAATGGAGATTAGATAGATAGATAGAGATGGGACTAGATAGATGGAAAGATGGACGGGGATGGATGAATGGACATGGGGCTAGATAGACGGATAGATGGCTGGGATAGATGGATGGATGGGGATTGGCTAGAGAGATAGATCAGGACAGGTTCGATCAGTGGATGGAGGGGTGGGATAGATGGATGGATGAGGATTGGCTAGAGAGATAGATCAGGACAGGATCGATGGGTGGATGGGGATGGATGGATGGATGGGGATTGGCTAGAGAGATAGATCAGGACAGGATCGATCAGTGGATGGGGATAGATGGATGGATGAAGACGGCAAGAGGCAGATCGATTTTTTGTCACTAGAATAGTTTCAAACCTGTCGCACTTTTGTCCCGGACGTTGCCCCTCTGGAGTCAGGACAGCTGATTGCTGAGGCTGCTTTTATCCTTGGAATTCCCTTTTCATCTCTGTCCCAGCAGGCAGGGACTCCTCCAGCCCTGAGGGGGTTAATTCCCCCTGGCACCCACCAGAGCCTCAGTCTTACTCCGGTGGGAATTCTGCGTCACTGTGCAAATCACAATTTGCACAGAAATGAATGTTGTTTGCACAGAATATTCCCTCCCCCCGCCTCAGAAATGGGCTGCAAAGCTGATGGCCGCCACAAGGGGCCACTAGACCCCGCAGAGCCCAGCTTGCACGTGGAGGACACTGCCGGGGGGAGGGGGAGGGAGCTGGAGGGTTCCCGCAGCTTCAGTTCTCAGCACGCCCTGGAGGAAGGCAGCTGCAGGCAGGAAACTCCATACAAGCCCAGTGCCCAGCATCAGGCTGTCTCTCCCTCTGGATCCCTGGGCTCTGGGGTGGAGAGGATGGGGGTGTCTGCGCTGGGGAGGGACCCACAGCTGGGGTTTGGGGGTTGGGGGTGCAGAAGTCTGGGTTTTGGCAGGAGGGGGAGGGGGCAGAGAAACAGGAACTGGGTTGTCGTAGGGATTTCTTTAACTCTCTACTGCTGGGGATTTTTGTGTCTCCGTATTGTTACAGATAGACATACTGCCACATACTTTGAAATAAATTACCAAAATAATTGAAACTGGTGTGATTCTATTTTGTTATTTTGACAAAGAAAATATGCAGAATTTTGAAATATTGTGCGCAGAATTCCCCCAGGAGTGTGACGTTCTGCATGAAATCACTGAACCCAGGTGTCCTACATCCCAGCCTAGCGCATTGACCACAAGCCCAGCCTTCCCCTGTAGGGGTTAATTCCCTCCTGGCCCTGGCAGATGCAGCAGCTGCTCTGGATTTTGAGGCTCGTGTTGATCGCTCATTCCTGGAATAACTTTTTTTGGTAACTTCATTTTTATTCATTGCTGGCTACAAAGCAGCGAGTGAAATGCAGCAGGCCCCGTGGCATGGCGGTGCAGGGGAAGTGGGAAGGAAGCGATCAGCTCCAGGAATTGATCTGTAATCAGTTCAGCATAGCCTTCGCTGAGTTCCCTTCCCGCTGGCCTTGCCAACACTGGGAACAGGTGTTTGGAACGGGAAAAGTGGCCCTTCAGCGGGAACTAACACATGGAAAAGGCCCAGTGAGGACAGCGGAGGCTGCAGTTTTAACATGATTTAGCAGGTCAGGTAACGATGAGGATCGCCCATAAATGGTCACTCGACTGGCTGTAACAGCGAAGAGCTACAAATCACTGGGTCTTCCCCAGGATTTGGCTCGTATCTGTTACCCCGGGGGAAATAAACCAGCTGTTTCCCTAGCAAAGAGGCAGCCTAAGGGTTGGGATTCCCAAGGGAGCCAAGAGGAGCTGGCCTTGAACCCAGCTCCTAAATCCTCTAGGCTCCCTGCATTGACGCTCATAGATGGGTGCTGCCTGAGCAGAGCGATGGCTGGGCAGGACTCAGCCTGCGGGGTCACAGCCCTTCTGCAAAGCAGGCCCTATGTCTGGGCCTCTCCAAAGGACAGAAGCGTCGCAGCTCCGGCCCGTGCAGTGATTTCTGGAGCGCCTCAGGGCTGCAGCCTCTTCATCATCTCCTGTATCCAGGGGATGAAGGTGGAGACACTTGTATACACCCCGGGGGGAATCCCATCCTCAGATCCCCAAGAGATGATGTCCTGGGCTGTTTGACCACATATCAGGGGGCCCCCAGAGTCGCCCTGCGAAATGAAACAAGCCACAGATGGAGAACAGCTCAGTGAGTCGTTTCCAGCTGATGAGGAGCTCAGTGATGCCCCCCGTGCAGCTGGCTTCAGTGTCCCCCCAGTCTCTGATTGGTCCCCCCACAGCCCAGCTGGTTTTAATGCCCCACCCACTCCCCTGTCCAGCTGCTCTCTGCCTCCCCCTGAGAAAAGACAAGTTATTTTCCCATTCATTTGTACAGCACCTAGCGCAGTGGGGCCTGATCCCCGATAGCCACATGTAGGCTCGACTGCAACACATCAAGGGAGCTTGAAGCCAGGAACAGATTTACCTTTGCAGAGTCTTTGCCTTTCTCTGGATCCTCCCCCCCCCACACACACACACACACATCATTGTGAAGGTGTTATGGTGATGATACATGCACTTGTCATCTTCCAGCACCTCCACATCCACTTCCTGGAGTGTGATGGCCTGGGTTAAATTATTCCGTGCTACAGTCCTGCCCCAACCAGCGACACTGCACATGGCTCCTGCCTCTACTGTCTCATTGGCACAGGGCAAGTCAATGGTTTTCACCCGTCTATTCAGCTTGTCTCTCTTCACCAGCTGAGACACAAGAACGATGAAGATCAATGTGAAGGTCGCACTCAAGAACACAGAGACACACCCTAATCCCCAGCAAAACCCATAACCATGGTCTCTGTGGGGGTGGGGCAATGGGATGAAACCAGCCAAAACGGGCTGGGCTATCCCCTAATAATCTAACCCAGTTGCCATAGCAACACAAGATTCTATTATCATGACAACCAAATACACAACAGAGGCAGTACCTGCAGCAGCATGATGTCATTGTTATGGGGCTTTTTGTCGTATTGCGGGTGAGGTATCCAGTGGCACACGGGGATCTTTTGTCGTTTCCATTCCCATAGTCTTATGTTATGGGCTCCCAGCTTGACGATAATCTCACTGTAAAAGCCAAGAACAATCCATGGGGTGTCAGGGGCAGGAGTTTATGTGAGGTGGGGGATGGGCACATGTGAGTCTGTCACATGAACAGTGATACGGAGGGGACAGAGCAGCCTGGGGATCTCAGGCCATGATCCCAGACTCATCTGTTGCCCTGGAAAATGTATATACCACTATACACATTGCCAGCTGTGATCCAGCACCAGGGCTCGGGACTTGCTGACTTAAGGAGCAAGAGGGAATGGCACGAGGGGCCTCTCCCCACTAGAGGGCACCGTTTGTGGCACAAAGTCCATGCCCAGTGGTGTTGGGGTCCCAGCCTATGTCTCCCCCAGCCCCTTGTACTGTTCCCCTGAGTTCCTTCACTCCCCACTGTCCTCCCAGCCCCTGGATCTCAGCTCCCCTGCACCCCAGCTAGATCCACACAGGGGTCTATACCCAGCTCCCCCCAGCCCAGAGCCCCACAGAGCCATCCTGGGGCTGTGAGCCCCTCCCTGCCCCAATCTGGGCAATGGGCCACACCCCAGCTGGGCCGTAGTTCCATTGATTTACCCAGTGCTGGAGCTGGACCATGGTTTGCAGAGGCCCCTAGAGACACGCCAATGCCCCGTGAGCAGATCAGACCTCTGGGCTCTGCTCTCCCAGCCTGTCCTACTAACGGCTCCTTCCCTGCAACCTACAACAGTGCCAGGATTCCTGACTCCCCCATCACCTGCTAACACCCGACCTGCCCCGACATCCCCAGCACAGAGGCGCTTACTCTCCATTGCAGTGAGCAGCCGTCAGCACGAAGTTCTCCGCCACCAGGAACCCTCCACAGATGTACTTCCTGTTTCCATGTCTTATAGACAGATAGGCGATGTAGGGTCTGGAGTGGGGCTTCGCTTTCTTTCCCCCCAATGATCTCACCTGGGTGGGAGACCAGGTTCATATAAAGAGCCCCATCGTCTCCCTGAGCTGGGCAGGGACCGAGCTCCCCATCCCAAAGGGGAGTCCCCACAACCTCAACCCACCCACTGCAATGCTCTTCTTGTGGGATGCCTGTGCCTGGTACTCTGCCCCCCTCATCAGCTCTGCTCAGACTGGACATCCCCTGGGGCCGAAGGGTAAATCTAAAGCTCTGACCTCGCTGGGTGGAGAATCAGTACCAAACGCACCGGGAGTGGGTCAGTAATTACACAGCTGTAAGATAATGACATTGGGGATCCATGTCACCCCAGATTGGGTCGGGTATCCCCCAGATGGGCACTGACAATCTTATTGGCTGAATTTCCTTCAGGCAGGATCCTTACCCCAATCCAATGGTGCTTCCTTTGTTCTTCCAGTTTTGTGAATGTAATGAGTAGAGAGAAAGGGAGAGATCATTTGGGGCCGCTTCTCCCCCTTCTAGTTCCTTCTCTTCCTCGAGAAACATCTCTAGCTGGGTTTGAGGAAACAGAAACTCTGTAGACAGGAATACCAAGCTCTTTGTTCATCAAGATGTAATATTTTTCACCCATATCCTCTTTCCTGACAAAGAATGGCCACTTAACCAGGTGACGGCCCATTTGATTTTGTTGACACATAGCTGAGGCATCGGCTAGATTTTGTCTCTGGTGAACTGGTTTGTGACTACTCTCCAGACTTGGAACATGTTTTAGTAACACCCTACAGTAGAATCTTATAACTTTCAATGCCACACATATTTTACCAGGACAATAATGATCAGCAAATTATGGGTTTTTAAATGATCCATCACAAGATGTGCTCTGTATAAAAGCAATCATAGTCCTGTAAAAGGGGTGATCATAGGGGTACAGACTATCACAGGCCCCTAGATACCACCCACTGAAGCCAATCCCTGAGACCCCCCATTTAACGCAAAATCCCACGGGCCCCCGAGCCCAACTGTACTTACCAGCCCAAGTCCTGGGGGGCAGGAGAAAGGCCATGGGGAGCAGGAGCAAGATCTGTAAGTGCGTGTTTGCAGTCAGAACTGGGATGGTGCACCTGCCTCAGGCCTGGGGACTTTATAAACTCATTTTGAGGAGATCAGGGGGGCAGGAAACCTCAGGGTCACCCACACACTCATCTAAATGCAGGACTCAGGTGCAGGGCCGGCTTTAGGCCGATTCAGCCGATTCGGCTGAATTGGGCCCCGCGCCAAGAGGGCCCCGCGCTGCAGCTCTCCACCCCGCCCCCAGCTCACTTCCCCCTCCTCCCCTCCCCTGAACGCTCTGCCCCCTCCCCTGCTTCCCGCGAATCAGAGATTCGCGGGAAGTCTGAAAAGAAGCAGGGGCAGGCCGGCAGGACAAAGTAAGCTGGGGCGGTGGGGGCGGGAGAAGGGCTCCGGGGAGGCGCGGCCCGTTC